AAAAAATATTTTGTTTTTATATATACATAAATGAGTATGAAAAAGATGATAAAAAATTTAATTTAATTTTGTGGAAAGACATTATGAATGAATAGCCACTATAAATAGTTCAAAATAGACATTTTTGCTTTAGCTTTGTATTAAGTAATAATAATAATATTATTAATTTTAAGCTAGTTAAAAATAATTATATATTCAGTTCTTAAAAGCGGGGAAAAAAATAAAAGACTGGCTTTTAAAATAACTTAGTAATAATGTTAAGAGCAAATTATTCTATTTGATTTGATGTAATAAATATTTGTTAATGTAAAATATTAATATATTTCTTAAAAAATTGTAAATTTATAAAAACTTTTTATTTTGGCTTTAAGTAATTACTTATTATTTTTAAATTGATTATTTATTAAATATATAATATTTGAAGATCTCATTTAAATTTTTATTATTTTATCTAAGTTTTAATAATTATTGATTAAATAAATTTATATTTCCTTCGTTTTTTATTCGAGAAACGTTTTATATTAAGTTGTGACAAAGGGAATTCGTTCTAGTAAACTATCGTTGAAAAAATTTGTTTGCCAAGAACTCACTTTGTTTGTCCTTGCCCCGGGTCATTATATTGCTTTTACGCTCTCAATTTATTTTTTTTTTAAATAAAATTAAATTGACAAGTGGGACCGTGCTGCTGCTTTTGTTTTATTTATTTTTTGTATTTTTTCCTAATTTATTTTGAATTTTTTAAGTGTATTTTATATCAGATACCACTAATGTAACGATCGCTGTCATTAGACTTTTAACTATCGTCTGCTTTTACAACATCAAAATGTCAGCCACTTATAGGATTTATAAAATTTCAAGTATACAAATTTCACAGAAAAATTACATAAATTATAATTTAATGGTATGAATTACATACCAGTTAAAAGAATTCTCTGTTTTGTCAGTGTCATAAAAAAATTTCCAACAAAATTTCCTAAAAATTTAACTGCAATATTGGTTCAAAATTATTCTGCGTTTAAGCCAATTGAAGGGTAAGAGATATTTATTTAGTAAATATTAAAAAAAAATTTGCTAGAATTGATTTTCGTTTTTCATGTAAATTATTTTATTTTATTTTCTGCTAAACTTTCTGCTTTTAAAAGTCAACGCATCGTTAATTATTAAGTTACGAAATATAAGGATATATAAAATTAATTTTAAAATTTTGTAGATTCACCCAAAAATTGCCTAGAAAAAAACGTTTATTTTTGATGGCTGGTATTAGTAACAAAGTTTCCAATCGTTTAGCATTGGAAAAATCTCCTTATTTGCTTCAACACTCAACAAATCCTGTTGATTGGTATCCGTGGGGTAATGAAGCATTTTCAAGAGCTGTAAAAGAAAATAAATTAATTTTTTTATCAGTTGGATATTCAACATGTCATTGGTGTCATGTAATGGAAAAAGAAAGTTTTGAAAATGAAGAAATAGCAAAAATAATGAATGAAAATTTTGTTTGTGTTAAAGTTGATAGGGAAGAAAGACCTGATGTTGATAAATTGTACATGTTATTTGTTCAGGTAAATTTTTTAAAGAATAATAATTAATT